ACACACACACCGAACTTGCTAGGCTAGTTTTTGGAATAATTGGGATGAGTAATCAGCAACAACCTAGAACTTTCTAACTTCAAGAATTTTGAACCCAGTGTATTTTTCTTCCATAATGGTTCCATCTAATATAGTGCACTCCTTTTTTTCATGTGTATGTCCATTATTCCACACAAATTTATAGCAGTTTTATGAATCTTTTGTTGTTGTTACACATGGAGAACATTTTTTGGCAGTAGTTATACAATTTGCATTTTTAAAGAATAAATTGCAATCAAGAAAAAAATTATCATACAAATTGCTGTATGTGTTATATGGTATCTGCAGAATACGGCGTTTACTTCTCTGAAATGCACACTAGATCTATCTTAGAAAAACAGCTAGAGAAGGAGGAAAAAATAGTTTCCAAAGAGATTAAGAAGACATAGTTTCCCACTAAGGAAATTTATTTTTTTGTCTAAAATTTGAAGAGATTAAAGTATTTTTCTGTATTTTGATTGGGGAAAAATTCTATCTTGCCTTTAGCTTTACATAGACTGTTGCATCTTTTTTCCCCCCATTTTTCTATTTCTGTTTGAAAGTATTTGTTGGGTTCACTGTTTCTGAGTAATGTGACCCTCATATATTTAATCCTAGATATATTTAAATGACAATTGGAGAAAAAACATTTACAAAGTGATGTTACCTTTGGTACTACAATGTAGGTAATCAAAAAGGTTAATAGCCCCTACTGACAGAAAAATCAAAGCAGAATTACAAACAAAAGGAAAACAAAATAGTAATACCAAAACTCCAATAAAATAAGCATTAAGAACAACAAAGTCATTCTTGAGTAAGTATTCTCCCGTACTTGAGTAATATGATTTGGCTCTGTGTCCGCACCCAAATCTCATCTAGAATTGTAATCACCCTGTGTCAGGAGTGTGACCTAGTGGAACGTGATTAGATATGGGGGTGGTTTCCCCCATGCTGTTCTCATGATAGTGAGGGAGTTCTTAGGAGAGCGGATGGTTTTAGAAGTGTTTGGCAGTTCCCCTCTTTGTTCTCTCTCTCTTCTGCTGCCATGTAAGAAGTGCCCTGCTTCCCCTTAGCCTTCCACCATTATGGCAATTTTCCTGAGGCCTCCCCAACCATGCAGAATTGCGAGTCAATTAAACCTCTTTTGTTTATAAATTATCCGGTCTCAGGTAATATCTTTATATCAATGTGAGAATAGACTAATACATTGAGTGTATGTGCAGAATTCTGTATTTTCTTCATGGAAAAAATGTCGCATATTCTGCCTAGTCTGTGTAGAGAAAGGCTACAGGTGTCCATTTTGTTATTAAGTTTCTTAACCATCCAAATTACAATTTTTGCATAACCTACCAAATTAGCCAAGCAGTTGTTATTTGATCACTTAGAAGTGCCAAAGGCATTAGTGTGATTTTTTTGATCCAATATCTTTGTTTGAGGAAATCAAGTAATTTTGTATGTAAAATACATTTTTTTAGAATTATCACACTGAACTCTATAATCTTATACATAGTTTTAGAAAATCATTGTTTCTTTGAAGCCTAGAATTCATTATACAGTAAAACATGAGTATCATATTGTTAAGTCTGACTTTGAATTCCAAGTTGACTTTAAAAGTAACTCATTGCACGTGAAAAAAAAATCTCCAAATGATTATTTACCTTTCTAGAAATCAGTTTAACAGCACCATTTTATGAACAGGGCTTGCTATAGGCATGTAATGATATTATTTGTACTCTATGTTAGCAGATAAAGTGTTAAGTAAAGCTTTTAACTTTAAAATTTTGCTTATTAAAATGAACATTAAATATTGTTTCCTGACTTAGAAATAGAGGGATAAGTCTGTAAGGGTGTAAATTTGATAAACACAAAGTTGCATGAAGTCCGAATACTACATTTTCTTTATGTTTATGGTTGAGAATATGGTCAGAATTTTTCCTTTAGGTTCTTCGCAGTCTCCATTTTTCATTTTCACCAGGAGTTAAAAGTCAAAAGACATGAAAGAAAAGAAACACATATTGGAGAAGTTTCAAGTGAATTCTAATATGCAGCTTGATGAGTATTTAATTCTAGAAAAAAGAAACTGCCTGTAGAGTGTAAGTGGGAAATGCTTGCCTTTTCGTTGTGGCAGTGATTTTTTCATGCATGTATATGAGTTTCCCTGAATGGACTGGAATGTAATACCTACAAGGTTAATTAGATGTGCTGAAATGTAACGTTCAGCACTCTTCAAATGCATAGTTAATTCAGGTCTCACCCAGGCATCTATGCTATCTTTTTAACCACATTATTTTCCAAGGTGTGGAATTCATTTATAGGTAACATCCTCTGAACTTTCTCAGTAAAATAAGAGGGTATTTGAAATGCATGGTCAGTCAACATCTAACATAAAATCTTAAGCCTCAAGTTTTGAAAAGAACAACATGGATTAATGAGGGTTGTTTCTTATAGAGCTAATACAATTACTTGTCGAAAGACACAAAGAAGAGAATTACTGTTAGTATTCTGGTCAAAACTGTGTGATCCATCATGAAAATTGAAACTACTCTAGAGAATGGACGGATTTTAACTTATTTGTGATCTTAGTGAGGGGAACGAAGTCACGGAGAAGATGCATGGATCATAAAGCAAAATCAATGCACATACCCAGTTAAAGAAAAGCATTTTATATTTGTGTCGGTTGAAATGGAAAAGAAACTGTTCCTACAAAGAAAGACAAAATATTCTTACTTAAGAATTTTTAGTTTGTTTTTTACTCTACCAGCATGCCTTCTGCTGGTTCGTTTTGAGAATTATGGAATATTAGAAGACAAATATGTTTCCTTCAATTTTACTACTCAATCAATACTCAGCTGGGTACTCTTCTCTGGTCCTGGAGCTAAGTACAAAACCTACTCCAGAATTTGGAGGTAAAGATAGACTTTCTTCTGTTTCTTGTTTGTGCAGAAATAAATGGGAGATCAGTGAGAGCTTTTTGCATACAAGAATAATTAAAAAAAAAAGTTCCTAATAACCATTTAAAATTATCTGGGAAAATATCACAGTTGATTTATGAAATGACTCTTAAGTGATAATTTCCCCAAAACATTGGTTGCTGGGTCAATACCCCACCCCCCCACACACATGCACCACACATATATTCCTAAACAGGATTGTGTGAATTATTTTGTGCTACGAACAATCAAAGATTTTAGTGCTATTATTAAAAATGAAAATATACCAACATTTTTCCTTATGCTCAAATTGAAAACCTTTTCTGGTCATCCAATTCAGGAAAAAAAGGGGGGCATGAAAAAGTTACTCACAATTATATTTAATCATTGCTATTTCCGAAATCACAAATATGCTAATGTTTAAATATTAAGAACAGCTTTGGAGAACTTTCATGCAGTGAAGCATAAATTTATTTACAATGGTCAATTGCATTTTTTTTTCAGCATGTTTATAACTCCGTCAGTGTCACATAGTGGAAAAATTGATGCGTCTTCTAAACCACAAATTCTAGTGTAAGCTTCTTCATTTATGAGCTTTATGATTTGATCATAATCTCCTGGCCTTGTTCTATCATCTCTAGAACAAATACAGTCATATGCCAATGTGTCTATTTCTTAAAAGAATCATATCCTATCAGAACTTTATAAGCTATTAAAGCACATACAAGTGTAAGAACTGCTATTACTACATGTATGTGTGATCCATTAATTACTCCAATTGGTTAAAGCCTAATATTCTTGAAGCCAACAACTCAAGTTCATTTTCCTAGAGAAATCATTGGTTCCTGAAAATAAAAACAGTAAATTTCTCTTAATCTCTCCCCAACTTTTATTTTCATGCTGTTAGCCACAATGGAATCAGGTATGAAAATGTTGAGGACTCAGTACAAATGTTTTGACCCACCTGAAACAACTCAAGGAACATGATCTGATAATAGCTATTCAGATGACATCATAGTTTTCTATAAAACTCACCACCTTTTGAAATGTAGTGGAATGATAAACTCTTAGCATCATAAATAATCTAGATTCATTAGGTTACCTAGTTAAATGATTATGACTTTAGGATGAGTTTAAGTCAGACAGTCCCACCCCACCACCCACACACATAACTATGTGCAAAATATATGGATTATAGCTCTCGTTTTTAGAGCTACTCATAAGCACATCTTTAGAAATTATGACTTACCTCCTCAACTAACGAATGCTTTTAAAAATGTTCATTTGTTTTCAACCGAGATCTCAGCTTGTTACTGTTTATTTTAGGGCAGGATGATTCCAACCTTCATCTCAAGGATTCTGGACCTCTTATTGTTTCCACCTGTATGGGAAATATCCTACCGATGAGGGTGCAGTGTAAGTAGGAGACCTTCTGCATGCGCCCGGAGATTTTGGCAGGCCCAGGGGCACCGCAGGAGTCCCCACTGGCTTGTTTTTTGTAGTTGTCATAGCGAAGGACAAAACAGAACAGGAGACCAGTCATCACAATGTCTCCGATGCCCAACATGGAGAAGTGGCTGCCGGTGGAGCTTGGGAAGACCAGTTTTCCAGGCAGAGACAGGCGAGGAACATCATGCCCAACATTGGGCCCCAGGTAGAGCTTCCGGAATAGAACGTCAAGGGGATTGTCAGGCGGCTAAGTGGCCACCTTCACCATGACGTTCCTATTGAAGATGTAGGCTGAGAAAAACACCCAAAAGACGTCATAGATTAGAAGCCCTGAGAGAAGCAGGCAGGAGACCTTGAGGCTCGGCAGGCGGACAAGGGCGATCATGGCGACACAGAGACCCATGGCCAATGCATTATTGGTGCTGTTGCCACTGAAAGACCCCGAAGAACTATTACTGTCTTTCTCCTTATCTTGATTTTCAAAGTCCATATTAGGGGACCTGAAACTACCATAGACTATAAGAAGAATGGAAATCAGAAATATAGACACTTGACTGGAATCCACTAGGGAATAAATAGGCCCACGGGTAGGTCTGCTCCGGCATGGCGCTGCCTCTAGTGGGCTCGGCTGCAGGCTGTGGCCGGGCCCGGTGGCGGCGGGCTCGGTCTGGCCGGGAGCGGAAGGCGCGGCCGGGGTTCGGTGCTTGCTCGCTGGCTCGCTGGAGGCGCGGCGGGCAGGGAAGGCAGCTGGCGGGTAGAGGCCGGGCTCCGAGGCGGCCCCGCTCCCTAGGCCCCGGGGCGCGGCGGGCTCCGCTGAGGCTCCAAACCCAACATGGCGGCGGCGGCGGCGGCGGCGCTGGCGCTGAGAACAAGGGGGCCCCGGGACAGGCGAACGGCAAGACGGACCCGCGCTCACTGCGCTTTGTGCCGCGGGAGCGCCGCGCTCAGGCGGCGGCGGCGGTCGGGGGACATGGCCGGCAGGCGGAGGCTAAGAATTTTATTAACTCTTAGCACTGAACAAGATAGTTCCAGAACATTATAAGGTAAACCTTTGGTTACATCCGTGTTCCTTCCTGTGCCCAGTGTACAGCAACAATTCTATCTCACCTTGATGTTCAGAGTCAATAATGTCAGACAACATTGTTAAGCCACCCCCTTTTTTTTTGAGACAGAGTTTCGCTCTTGTTACCCAGGCTGGAGTGCAATGGCGCGATCTCGGCTCACCGCAACCTCCGCCTCCTGGGTTCAGGCAATTCTCCTGCCTCAGCCTCCTGAGTAGCTGGGATTACAGGCACGCGCCACCGTGCCCAGCTAATTTTTTGTATTTTTAGTAGAGACGGGGTTTCACCATGTTGACCAGGATGGTCTCGATATCTTGACCTCGTGATCCACCCGCCTCGGCCTCCCAAAGGGCTGGGATTACAGGCTTGAGCCACCATGCCCGGCCGTTAAGCCCTTTTTATTCTGTTCATCTGTTGGCATGAAGAGCACAAAATGACAAGTGGTAACTTACCTTCCAATTTAATCGAACTGAGTCCTGTTGTAGCCACTGAGGGACCTTTTTCTGTCTTAGGTAATAAAGCCTGTGAACTGTGAAAGTCCAGAGTCATTGAGAAGCAAAGCAAACATTTGTGCGTAGATCATTACGTATAATAAGAAGACGTGACACTCACACATCTATTCTTTAGTTGCTGTATCTATGAATACTGATTGTGGAGAAAACAGAAGCATAAATCAGTTGGGGTTCAAAGCCTATTACCTTCACCACGAGATGTTATCTAACAATCGTGCCATAACGAAGACTTTAAAAGCTCTTCTGTTTTTTCATATGGTCGGCTGCTTCTGAATCCTGGGTATATGAAAAGACCCACAAAACTGGTGTACAATAATATATTTCCCTTTATTTATATATCATTTTATTAGGTGTTTGTATGTTTCTTTGCTTATTGATATAGAGAGTCCCAAGGTCAACAACAATGTTGTATAGGATGCTATTATTTTTAAAAGATGCTATTATTTTTTAAAGACTTTTTAAAAAGCAAAAGGAAACCTAGAATATGACATTTCCACTAAGAGTAAACTGTTGTCTCCACCATGGTGAAAGAGGTCACATGACACTGGTTTTTCGTCTGGTCTCTTGAATGTACATTGCAATAGTGGGTCTCAGTTTTTGCTTTGCTCCTGGAAATTAGATCAGGATGCAGGAGCATTGGATAGGTGAGTCTTCGCTTGAGAGATTAAAGTGGTTGAGCATATGCATAGCCTATATATTCTTACTACTGTGGTAAAATTGTCCATGATCCTGTTAAGCAATTTCTAGGGTAGCTGGAAATGATACTAGGTGATATTACTGTAGGGTCCTTTTAACCTCCTGATTAATAGTGACCTCTGTTGACATGGGGACATTTTTGTAAAGATTCCTATAAGACATAAATTTCCCTACATTGTGAGTCAATTCTCAGAGCTCCACTTACATTATTCATTTCCAAATCTCATGTCCTCAGCCATCCCAGTGGGTTCCTTATAAGTTCCTCATCATTTTGTAAAACCCCCAAATAATTATATGTACTAATTTCAAACCTTTCAGGATTTTCAACCACGGCAGGGAACAGCCTCATTAAATTTTGAAGAGTCACTACTTTGCTATCAAAAAATTCGAAAAGTGGCTTGTGTTTTGGTATTCACAATTCCCTGAGACTTCATGTAAACCAATTTCCTAAAGATCATTCTTTCTTGATGAGTGCCCTAAATTTCTTATGAGGAGCTATGAATTCAATTAACATTCTAATTTGGCAACCCACAGAAGCAAATTTTGTATCTGGATTTTGGCTTAGTTTAGTAGCTCCAAGAAGTAAAGGACTCTCAGAGAAGTCACAAGGATCTTTTAGTTTTCCGTCTACACGTGAACAAAACAACAGAACAAAGACACAGAAATTTGAACTTATCAATCTATTTATTTTAGTTACATAGTCCCAATGAAGTAAAGATGCCCTACCTTGCCATCTTTTTTAAACCACATTATAGAAGTATGATTGACACATAAAACCCACCCTACAATCTTGAATTCCATTTCTCATGTCTGTTGGCTCTCTAAAGCTTACCTTCAAAGGGCAATTCCTTCCAGGTCATCATTGATAATAACATAATTGGTTTGTCATTTGACATTTACATTCTAGACTACCAGTACCCATGCCTTAACCTTATTAGATTTTTAAAATTTCCTTTAGTTTTCTCTAACTTCCAAATAACAAATCCTGGATTCTCCTTATTTATCTGAATATCTTTGGCTTCCAACAAATATGTGTGCAAATTTTTGTGTTCTCATCCTTGGATTCGTGAAACAGAAAAATGGATGTAACAAAAGAATATGGATAATTCACAGAATGTCCAGGAAAGCTATAGAATTAGGCATGAGAAATGGGCAAAAATAAGGAAGAGTGAGTAGTATCCAGGACCACAGCAAAACCATGCCACAGACCAGTCTAAGGTCAGTGATGCTGATTACTGCTTATTATAGCTATGTTACGTTTGACATGCCTCTGGTCTCTAGCCACTGCTATTGCAGTTTTGATACTGGTCCTAGGATTTCAATGTGACTGCTACTGCTAGAATGGATGCTCCACCATCTCTGTTCTTTAGCAAACATCCAATCAAAAGCCTGCAGTGAGAGAAACTGCTTGGCAAGATTGACTGCATGAGTTTGTATCTGGTGCTTTCAGATTCTATAGTAGTAGGTGGTATGTGCCTCCCCATCATTATCTGTACATTTCTGGGCATGTTCAGATAAGTTGGCTAACTGAAACTTCATTCTCTTCTCTTTTCTATTAACCATCATCTCTGAATACTTTCATTGCAACCCTCTTTTTAAATTAGGAGTGGCCATCTAAAATATTTATAGCCAATGAAACAGATGTTGAATTATGCTGACATCTGTTTGAGGATATTTTGCTTTTCCTGATACTAAAGAAAATTTCAGTTGGTTTTATCTCTTCCTCCTCTTACCCTGCTATGAACGTTGGTATGAGGTCTAGAGTTGTAGCAATCTTTTTTTGACTATAACAGGAATTGGAAAATTACAGAGATGCAAATGTTGATCATATCAAGCCCTTGAATCAATGCCAGCAGAAATGAGCTACAGACTTCTTGTAATGTAAGGAAAATAAACTCCTGTTTTCTTAGGCCTTTGAACTCAAGTTTTCTACCACTTGAAGCTCAGCACATTCTGACTTGTATAATGGAGAATTTCCCAGATCCTGGAGAGGCAAAAATTTTAAAAATAAAATAAATAAAGTCACTTTTATTTTAAACACTAAATAAAAGTAAACAGACACTGATTCCCCCATGTTCACATCTGAAATAGTTATTAAGAATATTTAGAAATTTGGGCACATGGTGTGTGAGTTGATGACAGCTTCTTCCAAATACCTTTGGAAATTTGACCCGTAATACACATATTCTTCCTATTAGACTCATGTACGTTAACATATGGCTAACAGTTTATATTTCTTAAATTTACTATCCATTTCAAGATGAAACACAACCACTGCTTCATGTTTTCCCTTAGCAAATAAGTAGATAAGATGAAATGTAACTAACAGATGTGGATATTTTTTTCTCAATACGAACTAATATACAGGTATGATCATAGAAATCTATCGGACACTAAGATAATCACAGATATAAGCACTATACATAACAGTGATCTGTATAAAAATTATAAAATTCAAGTGGCCACAAGACAAACTTAAGGTGTTTTGTTTTGTGACTAAATGTTCCAGCTTATTGGCATCATTGCAACAATGGTTACAATCCAGATTTGTGCTGGGACTAGACAGGTAACATAAGTAAGGCCAGGTATAAAAGGGCAGCGTTTGTTGAGTGAGCAATTGTACCTAAGGGGAAATGGAAACAGATGCTCCATCAAGGTAGAAGCCAGTTGGCTCCCATTGATTGCGGCCATGCTGGAATGCAGCACGCTTGTCAGATCTTCCCATTTTAAACAAAAGCTAAACATCTCAGATTTTTATGTGAAGTTTCTTAATGGCTTCCAATTTTATTCACCTAAATAATAGTTAGAGTCTCTGTCTGGATTTTATGCCAATAACTCGTGACCTCCACATCAAGGAAAGAGTTAATTTTTTTTAAGATTTGTCTTTTTATGTTGGAAAAATCTACATTACAAAAAACAATATCCAGGCCAGGTGCGGTGGCTCATGCCTGTAATCCCAGGACTTTGGGAGGCCAAGGTGGGTGCATCACCTGAGGTCGGGAGTCCGAGACCAGCCTGATCAACATGGAGAAACCCCATCTCTACCAAAAATACAAATTTAGCTGGACATGATGGCACATGCCTGTAATCCCAGCTACTCGGGAAGCTGAGGCAGGAGAATTGCTTGGACCTCGGAGGCCAAGTTGTGATGAGCTGAGATCGTGCCATTGCACTCTAGCCTGGACAACAAGGGCGAAACTCCGTCTCAAACAAACAAAAACAGCAATATTCAAATGTACACATGTATGTGAGTGCATGCATGCACACACACATACATACACACTAGAATAAATAGAAATAAGAATTATTTCATTATACTTAAGTTCTGGGATACATGTGCAGAATGTGTAGGTTTGTTACATAGGTATACATGTGCCATGATGGTTTGCCGAACCCATCAACCCATCATCTACATTAGGTATTTCTCCTAATGCTGTCCCTCCTCTAGCCCCCACCCCGTGACAGGCCCCAGTGTGTGATAGTTCCCTCTCTGTGCCTATATTTTCTCATTGTTCAACTTCTACTTATTTTCAAATATTTTATTCAAAATGCTTTTCCTCCTAGGATTCCCTAGTGGAAGTAATCACTAAAGAATGCAGATGGACTCTTCTAAGTGTCTTATATACTAAGTATTTATGTATTATACACAAATGCATTTTCACATCAACTCTTGCTCATTTCCAATTAATGACATACTGATTCTTTTTGTAATTTTGTTATTAGGGTAATGCTAGTTAACCTTTGAGTCCTAATGCCATATAACAGAAGTTGATTTTTTTATTCATATTTTGCCCAGTTGGCTAAGGAGTTGGGGATGAGTGAACTGTCCTCTGTGCAGGCAGCTAAGTCTAATGTAGGCTCATGATTTTCAGCTGTGGCTTTCCTGGACATTAATATGCACTCTAAAGAAGAAGTTAATTACAAAATTAAAAAGACACCTGTATTTATGGATTTGAAGATCTAATATCATTAAGATGACAAGCATCTCCAAATTAATCAACAGATACAATGCAATATGAATTGAAAGTATGCTGATGCACCTTGGCGTGGTGGCTCATGCTGTATCCCCAGGATTTTGGGAGGCCGAGGCAGGTGGATCACTTGAGACCAGGAGTCAAGACCAGCTTGGCCAACATGGCAAAATGCCATCTTTACTAAAAATACAAAAATTAGCTGGGTGTGGTGGCACATGCCTATAATCTCAGTTACTTGAGTGGCCAAGGCATGAGAATCACTTGAACCTGGAAGGTGTAACAGAGGTTGCAGTGAGCAGAGATCATATATCCCAGCACTGCACTCCAGCCTGGCTGACAGAGCAAGACTCTGTCTCAAAAAAAGAAAAAAAGGAGAGGAAGAGGAAGGGAGGAAGGAAGGAAGGAAGGAAGGAAGGAAGGAAGGAAGGAAGGAAGGAAGGACAGAAAGGACAGAAGAAAGGAAGGGAAAGACCAAGAGAAAAGAAAGAAAGAGAGAAAAAGAAAGAAAGAAAGAGAAAGAAAGAAAGAGAAAGAAAGAAGAAATATAAAAACACAAAGAGAAAAAGAAAAGGTTAATGCTCTTAGTGGACTTGAACCTCACATCGCATAGGATGAGTTAACTAATATGCATTCACTGTGGATATAAAATGAGATTGATCATGGAAGAGTGGATATAGAGGATAAGGAGTGGATGAAACTTCATAGACCACACAGCCCAATAAAATGTAAAAAGCTTTTAGATATAATCATATTTTCATGTCTTGTGAGTGGTACTGCCAAGAAGGAAGCAAAATGATTCATGTTCTGGTTCCATGCTGACATGTAAGTGCTTTGAAATGCGACTGTTTTCATCAACAAAGTGTATTTGTTCTTTCATTCCATTTCTGTACATGTCACACAAATTTGTCAGCAATAAAATAGAAACTAATCACTTGCTCCGAGAAATATGTCAAAATTAAAATATACTTAAACCACCTCAAATGCCCTCCTAAAACACAAAAATGATATGCAATATTAACCACATTCTTTTTGTATTCATTGTCTTTTTAATTTTGTAATAAGACGAAATTGGTATAACATGATTTATTAGCTACAGTCTCATGCTGCTTGTTTTTTATGATTCCATTATCTTTGCTCTTAATTATGACTTTATTCATTATTTTTCTATCATTTCAATAAATAATTAGATTTACTTCCCGGCAAGTCTGCAGACTCATTCATTCCAAGTGAATTCTTTGAAGAATGATTATCCTACAATTATAATATTAACCTACCTTCTTCCTTTATAAACTATGATTTCATAAAAAGGTCACATGATGCCTCCAATATCTGTTATTTATTACCTTCATATTTTAACAACTCACTAGTTTTTATTTAGCTATTTATAAGTCTAGCTTTTTAAATATTTCTCCTTTAGATGTTAGAGCCTAATCCAAGGAAGTAAAGACTTCAGGTAACTAGCCAGATAAATGAGGCAAAATATCGTTTTAAATAAGCTGATGTTGATATTACATATGTGGATCTCCTCCTCCTTCTCCTCCTCCCTGTTATCTTTCTTCAAGGTATATTTAAACCAGATAAAGCTGGCCAGAGTCCATGTATGAAATTACTCCTAAACATTCTTTTCTGTAACTATTTTATGCTCTTAATTTGTGTCTCACAGTTTCCTCTAAGGAATACATTAGGACGCCTTTCATGAAACGCAGTCAGTCCTGCTAGAATCCCGAAACTATTGTTTTAGCTGATAGTATGTTACACGCCTGTGGAGTACATCCCGGCATTTGACACCATTAGATTCATCAGAGAAGCTTTTTTCCTAAGGCAATTCCTTTGGTATTTACTCTTTAAACCCAGTAACTTATTCTGCCATTAATGAAAAAAATAGTCTAACCAAGAGGAATAAAGTGTTCTTGACATATACTCAGTAGAATATTATCTTAGCTGGTGGACAGTATTTAACAAAATCACTTAAATAGGGCTTGTCATGTGCTAGAGACTGTTCTAATGCTTTACAAATCCTTATTCACATAGTCCTCAAAATCAGCCTGCAAAATATATATTAGTATCACCATAACAATTTGGCACATAAGGAACCTGAAGCCCATAGAAGACAAATAGCTAGGAAGTGGCAGATCTGTGATGATGCAATGCCTCTAGATATGTATTCAAGTGCCTCGGCTGGTGGATGCTGAAGGTGCCTTTCTAGTAGGGCTGTCCAGTGATGACTATGCCTATCTTAGAAATGAAGTCATGACCAGAGGAGATGAGCAAGAACTGAGGACATCACCTCATGACGCTATACTAGGCATAAACACATCTTCTAGTAGAAGGTTTCTCAGACAAGCAGATCTTGATCTCCAGCTCAGGCTAATTAAGTTGGGCTTTTTCAGGCCTTTCCCCAAACTCAATGGTGATTATATTAACAAGCAGCAAAATGCTATGAAGGACTTTTGAACAATTCAGTCATAGGCCCAAGAATGCTGGAGAATAAACAAACAATACCAGTGATCTAATATATTATTAGCTCATACCTCACTCATGTGAGATACGCATTTACATTTGAAAAACACTGCTCTTAGGCTCCAAGATTCTCAAGTGAAAGGATGACCAATTTATTAATATTTGTGTCCTAAGGATATAACAAAGTGACTGATGTATGGTAGATAGTAACTCACAGTTTGAGGATAGATTGCCTGGTGCAAGGAAGGAAAAAATAAAAGGAAGGAAGGAGGGAGGGAAGGAAGGAAGAAAGGAAGGAAGGAAGAAGGGAGGGAAGGAAGGAAGGAAAGAAGGAAGCAGGGAGGGAGGGAGAGAGGGAGGAGGAAGGGAGTGAGGAAGGCAGAGAGAAAGGGAGAAAGGAAAAAAGTGAACAATGCCTGTGGTAGATGCTGTTTCTTATCAAATCCCAAATTGAAGAGAGCAGTTACTTTTCCATTTTCTTCTACAATTTACAAGAATTCCCTTTTATACATTTAAGTTTTCAAATGCACAACTTACCATATAGATATTAAGATTCTCTTTTTTTAAGTCTCATATTCTTGTCTAGACTCAGTTCTGCCAAAAGCATTTCAACTTTATGCATTTTAGTTGCATAGAATTTCCTGTTTTAATGCTTATGAAATTGGAGCATCTTTCTATTAGCCATGGTGCAAACTGCTTAACAGTAATGGAATACCAGCTACCTGCACTGTTTCACTTGAGGGAGAAGAGACAGGTAAACTCATGGAGCTCTATTTCTTTCCTTCCTAGGAAAAAAAAGAAAAAGATAAAACAGAAAATTCACCTTCAGAGAAATAGCAAGCTGGTAAGGCTTTTCACTTTTTTCACGGTCTTCACAAATGTGTAGATAAGGCACTTAATTTGTGGTCTCAATGTTTTGATCTAATTTCCTGTATTTGTATCTGTGGCAACCCGGATACCAGTGCCCACTGAATAACCTCAGCGTAACCACACCACCACAAGCTGCGTGTAGCAGACTTAGCTAAATGCAAAAGCCATCCAATGCCTTCTGCCACAGAGGCTGGCGGTATATGTAATTCTCTTAAGAAAATAATTATTCCATCATTCAAGACATCATTTCTCTCACTGTTGTTTTTCTGTCGCTGGTGACTTCCCCATACCCAAACCTAGCAATTGTGAAGCCTATAGTTTAGTGGTTTAGTTTATATGACATGTGCACACACACATATACACACATGTCACACATCCATGCCACACCATCATGTATGCATGGCTGAAGGGAACATCCTGATAACTGAGAGATAAGAATGCAGGCTGGAAAATGAGAACATTTTCTAGTAAAAGATGCTTATCATTTCATTGGACATTATTTACTGATAGTCTGTGAAGCAGCTTGCCATCAGATTTCTTTCTTTTTATTAGTTTGTATCTCTCCTTAGTGCTCAGTCCAATTCCTTGTGCCTTTCATCTCAGCACTTGCTTGCTAACTACCAACTTATTTGGAGAAGAAAAGGAAAGAGAGCTATAATATTATAAAGTTATTTTCCACAACTAGGCGCTCCGCCGTAAACTGAAAGTCCCTGTGGTCTTCAACCCTGCTTTATAGATGAAACACCTGAATTACGTACAAATGATGAAGTTTATATATACATATTTCTGTGTTATAATTAGTCTATAAAGGGTATATGAAACCATGATACGGCCAATTTTGTACAATATGTTTTATATGCATCAAATCACATGGCTTATACCAAAAGGAGAAAGTATTCAAAACTATCCCAAAGTTTGAACCAAGTCCAACTGTTTCATATCAACGAGAATTGATTCTCCTTAAAGACTAATAAAAAAACTTCATAAAACTCTCTCCCATTCCTTCCTCCCTCCTTCCATCTATTCATTTCTAGATGTCTTGTGCCAGGGACTGAATTAGCAAATGAGAAAACAATAATGAGGTAAATAGGTAGAGTTTGGCCTCCATGTGGCTTACTGTCTTATGGGACTGTTTTACTGCGAAGTAAATACATAATTGTGGTATCAAACTAATTATCATGTGTGCAAAGCCAGACAATAAAGAGCAAGCATGATTAGGCTGAGGGAGAGTCCTTCTGACATTCTCTATATTATTCTGAAGGCATAAACACCTCAGCACTTCACAAATATCATTGACTGCAGAGCTGGGAATCAGAATCGAGCTTCCTCATGCGTGCACACAGGCCAGGTTCCTTTGCAGCTGTCATACTTGTCGATGGAGTTAATTGTTTTACTAAGAAGTCAGCATCTGATTGGAAATAAGAAGACTATAGAGGTTGGAGAGGGTGGTTTTATCACTTAGGCCTACAGTATTCCATCCAGTTCTAGGATCGTGACTCTCTGGGCCCTGCAAGTGAAAGAATTTCTTAAAGAATCTCTGGTCGGGGGCATGAGAAGAAACTAAGAGGGCAGATGAATGATCATCTAGCTGATCATTTGTTATACTGACTTTAATGCTGTCTGCATGAGAAGTTTCTGTCCTACCCGCCATTTGACAGGAACAGTGTGTACTTGACACTGAACTAACCTCAAGTGGTTTCCAAGGATTTCATAGGGAAATTAGTAATAAAGTCTCCTTAATCAGGCTGTATCCAGGACATCTGCTTGGGAACACAGTGTCTAGTCAGATATACAAATAAAATAGCAGAGGCAATAATGCTAAGATTTACGTGGTTGGCTAATTCAGATGAAGCCAATTTCCATGTAGTAGCTAAGTTTTAACAAGAGAACTGCCATTTAAATAAAACATTCATCTAATGACATGCTTGATGTCTAATATGGGTTACCTTTTTTTTTTTTTTTTTTGAGACAGAGTTTTGCTTTTGTTGCCCAGGCTGGAGTGCAGTGGCGAGATCTCAGCTCACTGCAACCTCCGTCTTCTGGTTTCAAGCTATTCTCCTGCCTCAGCCTTCTGAGTGGGGGAACTACAGGTGCCTGCCACCATGCTTGGCTAACTTCTGTATTTTTAGTAGAAACAGCATTTTGCCATGTTGGCCAGGCTGGTCTTGAACATCCAACGTTGTGAACCACCTGCCTTGGCCCCCGAAAGTCCTGGGATTACAGGTGTGTGAGCTAATGCTCCCGGCCTCCGGTTATCTTATAAAATCCCTGAACATTGCTATACAATAAGTATTTTATTTTATACAGATATGAAGCCTAGAATCTCAAAGAGTTTTTTCTCCAAATAACAGCTAGCAGGTGATAGACATAGGATACAAATTCATTTGGGTGGATTCCAGGCTCTGATCTCTTATTACTATACAAAGCTGCCTTCCTGAAAAAAGACTTAAAACATGGATTTTCCATCAAGGAAATAATAATCTTGTTCCAGAAATAGGACTCCTAATTGAATGTAAACCAGCATATATTTACTGAATATATCCATGGACAAGATGCTATGAGGTTTAAAAAATGATTATGGAATAGTCCTTGCCCTTGAGAAAAGCTTCTGAGGAATAATGAGGCCCTAAACACCATTAAAAAACCTTCATTTCATTGATGGAGCTCTAGTAATCTGAACAAAACAGTGCTTTACCCAATATCATTGGCTTCTTACGGCCAAGCTAGCATCAGAAGCCCATAATGGAGGTGGCAGTAATAGCGATTGTATTAGCAACGTAGATGAGCAGCCAGGATACAGGGTTCTGCTTGCTCTCAGAGAAATTCCACCCTTAAGGTTTGGTGTTCTGTAGTTGATGTCTTGCGATACTTAACAATTTTATCTTTGAGTCAGTGCTTGTAAGTGAAGTCCTCGGGGACAACAGAGTATATGCTGAGGGTTTGGAGTTTCCGGTCAAGTGTGATTCTTTGTACTCCTGCCTCCTGCCTCCCCGGTACCTGTTCTGGACTGTCAGCTGCCCACCCCATGGGACCATGGGAACCAGCCAGCCACACTCTCCCTTCTGCTTAGCTGCAAGGCCTGCCTTTTATCTTTGGGAAGGAGCTGGTTGGGGATACAATGAGGGTTCAGGGAATGCTTCACACCCCACACAGTGTTTCTGACCAGGGTTAGGGCACCATCATATATGCCCTAGGCTGACAAGGCACATTACATTTGATGGGTGACTCATCAACAATAGGCCTCTTGCCCATCTTCCACTTCCCAAGGCAGAAAATGCAATCTATTAAGATTCACTGATCCATCCTAGACTAGGACAAAGGTTTTGTGAGAAGAGAGGATTTGACTTTCTGGTCCCAAGTCAGAATGTTAGCTGGCAGGAGGGGGAACCTGGGAAGGTGAGCCATGCTTTCCTACTGAGGCATGGAGTAGGGACCTAAGGTACCTGTGAAGTTTTATACTTTTCAGGTGATTCTTCCTGTCCCTAAAAGCTCATGGAACTAAATAGCAAATAACAAACATGGCATGGTGTCAGAGAGTCCCCAGAATTTTACAAACAAGATAAAGCAACACTTTGTATTTTAGTACTTTAAGCCCCCTTTTTCTCTACTTTTTGAACATCAGGGCTCCATATTTTCATTTTGCACTCAACCTGGCAAACTAAGTAGTTAGCTCTGGTTACTATTCACTGAGTGATGAGTACATGATTTAAGTACTATACTAAGTACTTTACATGAACTACAGCATTTAGCTATTATAAAATCTATGACTGAAACACTGTTGTTAATCTGAGTTTATGAATAAGGAAAGCAACACTTAAAATAATCAAGGAAATGTGCCTAAGATCACACAGCTAGGGAACAAGCCCCAAGCTTTGCTCTGTGGCTTCTTACAGTCCATATTTTTATTTTATTTATTTATTTAGAGATGGAGTCTTGCTCTTGTAGCCCAGGCTGGAGTGCAGTGGTGTGATTTCGGCTCACTGTAATCTCTGCCTCCCGGGTTCAAGTGACTCTTGTGCCACAGCCTGCCGAGTAGCTGGGATTACAGGTGCCCACCACCATGCCCAGCTAACTTTTTAAATTTTTAGTAGAGAGGGCATTTCACCATGTTGGCCAGGCTGGTCTTGATCTCCTGACCTCAAGTGATCCACCCTGCTTGGCCTCCCAAAGTGCTGGGTATACAGGTGTGAGCCACTGCACCCAGACTGTCTTTTTAATCTGTTCTTTACTGCTTCCATCCTGTGTGGCCTCGGGGACACAGACAGCCCTCTTGCTCTACCATGGTAGCCTCCTTCCTGCTGTCATGGGCTGTAGAACTAAACCAGACATTCCGGTGACTGAACCCACTAGGCAGATAGAATGATCCTGATTTCTACAGCAGAACAAAAGGCAGGGCTCTGGTCCATAGGAACCTCTGAAATAGAGACTCTGCATTCTGCCATGTAAAATTCACATTGTCTATGCATTCAGCAAGGCAAAAACCCTGTGTGGGCTGAGCCTTGTTTCGTTTTGTTTCACTTAGAACTACCTGGGGTCAGGAAGCCTAAAATGAAGCCTGGACTTCTGAGTACCTGAGACATAATTTTGAATGATGCCATAAGAAGCAATGCCAGTAGTTTTGCCTGTAACCGTAAAACCTGGAAACCCACATATAAAAAAGTATATAAGCAGCTGGGTGCGGTGGCTCATGCCTTTAATCCTAGAACTTTGGGAGGCCGAGGCGGGTTAATCACCTGAGGTCAGGAGTTCAAGACCAGCCTGGCCAACATAGCAAAACCCGTTCCCTGCTAAAAATACAAGAACTAGCCGGGCATGGTGGTGGGTGCCTGTAATCTCAGCTACTCGGGAAGCCGAGGCAGGAGAATTGTTTGAACTCAGGAGGTAGAAATTGCAGTGAAGTGATATTGCACCACAGCACTCCAGCCTGTGTAATAGAGTGAGACTCCATCTCAAAAAAAAAAGTATATAAGCATTCTTCTTTGATTGAAGGTCAAATGGGTTTTCCATATCTTCGTTAAGAATAGGATCATCACTTCCTCAGGGCAGGACACATCTGCTAATAGATTCTACCACCACACGTCAACACAGTGGAAGGTAAATGCAGCTCTGGAAATCACATCTGTGATTAGATGTTTTTTGGTTCTCCATATATCCTTGTCTCTACTGTTTTAGCCAAAAATACATCACAGCAGCCTCCACACCAAATCACTTCTGTTCCCCAAACACGACCAGGGTAGGTGCAAACATCTGCCTTCTCACCTCAGGTACCAAAATCTCGTTTGTCTGGAGAAAATGAATGTAACACATGAGCTTTCTCTTCCCAAAATGCTCATTTATGGAGAAACAGGTTTCAGACTCTAAATGATTACTCTATGCCTGGCAGGTGGAGATTGCTGCGCCAGTTCCCTTAATGATTTCTGAGGTGATGCTGAGGCCTAAGAAGCTGCTTGGCAGTACAGCTAGCAGGAAACTAATGAGTATCCCAGCACGACCCTGGACCACTAAAAAGGGGGTATTGCAGGGAGGGAGGGGCGAGCAATGAATTAGAGGCCTCAGTCTCTGGTAAGAATATCAGCGAAGGTCCTTAATGTAGTCTAGAAAAGAAAATTAATCACCCATAATGATTGGGGTGTGTGGTGTGAACATTTGATTTAATTTTGTTTATAAATATTTTTCTACAGAATGATGCACGGCATCAGAGACGGCTGAGAAGCACAATCCAAACTTGATTTAATCATGGGATGGGTATGGAGGGGTGGAAATGACAGTAATTACAGGAATGTGTTCTTGGAGAAGGCATTCCTTTTCTAAAGCACTTATGATTATCTTGGCTAAAATAGAATCGAATTCTGCTGTGGAGAATGTACCTTGAAATTTTTTATTTCAAATGCTGGAGATAATGAGTTAACAAATTGGAAAATTAAAATATATTTACATAATCATTAACCTAGTATTGCATTAGTAAGAAAGAGCGATGGAAACATAATTTCATAGTCAATGGGCTCAGATACGTATTGTTAATCATTGAGTAAAATAATAACAGAATACTAATTAAAATGTTGAATAATAAAGCTGATGAAAAGGTGTTTTCTGAAGAAATCAGGTTTTACTTCTGTAAGGCTTAACAAGAAAAGAGACTTTATAAGAAAACATCTATTTATATGATATGTAGGAAATGTAAAACCCCCAGATGTAATGGGAAAAAACAATGCAAAATATGGGACTGGTTATTAAAAGTTATGAGTTAAAAATTTATTCTTTAGTTAAATATCTTTCTTGGACTTTAATCAAATTAGTTAATTTTCTTTTCTCTCCATAGCCTCATACTTAACCTAGAACTCTATTTTCCAATCCCTCAAATGAGAAAGTAACCAAACTAGTGCTTAAAAATCTACACATTTTCATTTGGTAGGGTATCACGACAGACTAACAGATGGGAAATTACACAGGGCAGTGACTGCCAGGATGATTCACCAAACAAGGAATCTGCTCCACATTCAGCTGTCCAGATCATCTCAGCAAGGGGCAACACACAATTTGAGGAGACGGGTAAATGTTGACCCTTCTTTCTAGCGACTCTTCGTAAGTATGTGGTCTTGGGACACACTTAGCTTTTTCATGCCTTGTTTTTATGATCTGTTTTTAAAAGAAGGGATATGGGGTTTCTTGGGATGAAATATTATAAAGCACAGGAGAATCTGTGAACTAAAAAGTTCTTTGCAATATGATTTATTTATGAAGAAAAGGCACCATAATAAGGTTTGCAAAGTCAAGGAAATCTGGTTATTTTACAATAAAAAAATGAAATCGATAGAATTAGAACTTATCCTTTCAAAGAGCAGAGTGGAAAATGCTCACTGTTTGAAGGCACTTAAGTAATGAGATGCAGACTCATCATTCCTCACACATGATACCTCTTGTACTATCAGTTGATGAATGGCACAAAACTACATGGGTGCATAGCATTGTTCTCATCCCAAATGCTACTTCAGAAGTTGAGAGAGACAGACATGGCGTCAGCCTTTGGGCTCACTCCTTCGACAAAAGTTGGTGAACAGAAAAGCATTATTACCCAGAGACACAGGCTCACCAAGAGCTCTCCAAGCATAGCATCATCCTGTTCCCTAAGAAATAGAAATGGAACAGTGCCTCAGGTGCACAGGATGTCGGAGCAGCCCTCTGCCAACAAAATATCTTCTCACGAAGGCAGGTCGATATCTTGTAATTCACCAGAAGCACTCCGGAGGATGATTCTCTTGACCAGACAAGTTGGGATATGCTTCTGTTCGGTTAGGTATTAGAAAATAGAGGCAAACAAATCTGATTCAACCCTTGAAAAACCCCACTAAATATGGAGAACTACATATAGAACCATTTGTATAACAAATAATTTTTGGAGCTGGAATAGAAGTTCAGGGTACAGAGAGAAACCAAGAATGTATTAGCCAATTTCATCAGAAGGGAAGGGACAGAAAGCAGAACTTAAACAGAAGAAATTATTATTTCATTTGTGATCATCATTTTTAAGGTTCGCTTGTATTGTTTTGCACTTCCTTTTGAGATTTGTGATTTGATTTCCTCCTACTTCCGAACGTATCAAGAAAAGTTTTATTGTATGTCATGTGTATGTAATTAACTATATCTCTCCAGAAATCATCAGCATATCTTTTGTATAGTCTTATTTTATTGTGGACAATGTCTCTACATTTTATATGTTTGTGATTTGATAGATCTATTTAAGGAAATTAACATGTATCCAAATTCCTTACTCTTTGGTGGAATAATGCTCTGAGGGAAATTGAGGAATATTATGCTTATTCCTTCACATTGCATATTTTAATGCCCTATTTTTTTAAGAAAATAAAAAATTAAATTGTATTTTATTTTAATTTTAAACACTGGTGGAAATACCTTTTATATATTTCTTTGGCCATCTGTATTCTTTACTAAATGTGCTTCGTGGGCATGGCTTAAGATTTTTTTTAATAGGGAAAATAGCTAGATTTTCTCATTGTATTTGATGACAACTTAGGCTGGGAAACATGCTCATGGGCCCTCAAATGTGTGATATTTGCATATGTTGAAGCAGAGATTGCAATCTCTTTGAAGTTTAAGAAAGTATGACAACGTGATGAAATCAGACACTTCTTTCCATTGTTCCTTTGGTATGTCCTTGGATTGGAAGATTGTGTGAGGTCCACAGTAAGGGTGCAATTAGTTACACATTGGTCTGTGAACCCACTCTGATTTTTCAACCTGTCAGTTTATACTTTGACCGCTGATAACATGACCTTGCAATCTTTATACAGTCTTGTCACAGCTGAATGCAGACATCTGAAAGATTAGGTTCAGGAAATGGAGACTAGATGAGTAGAAGAGAGAAAGAGCTCAAAGTCTGGGAGGAGATGAGCAAAGCAAAAGTTGTTAATGCTTGGAATGCACAAAGGGGGCTTGTCTCCTTTTCCTGTGAGTTGGATACCTCCTTTTGCAATAATAAATTATGTCCCAGGTCAACTACAGTGGTTGTGGTGCATCTGGACAAAACAAGCATTTATCTCTTTAACCAGAATAGTTTTGCAATGAACTGATCTGTGGTTTTTAATACAAAGAGTGAACATAAAGAATCCTGAAATAAAAGGCAGATTATGAAGCAATGATGCTTGATATTTATAATTACCCTTTTATTATTTAAAAACACTGTTAGCATATTGAAGCTTCTGGACTGAAAAAGTTGCTTGTTAGCTGATACCATAGAAAAAAATCAAAAAATTTTTGAGGAAGGAATCTAACAGCTTATCTTGTTGGGTATTCTTATTTTAAATGGGATAAATATGATTCTGAAAGATGGGATGATTTGTTTAAGGTGACATAGAAAGGTAGATGTAGACCCAATATTAGCACAAAGATTTCTTATTCCTGACATGGTGTCATTTCTACCATTCACTTTCTGGCATCTGTATACTAAAACATCAAATATTACTGGGCATATATATTATGTGCTAAAAAACTGAATAAGGCACCATCTTATTTTAAGTGTTTTGGTTCTTAAAAAATGTACAAGTTAACAATGGAAGATGGATAGGTAATGAAAAACATCATGCTTTCTGACACCTAACTATGTCACTAAATGATCATTGAGTGGAATAAGTAGCACTTTTCACTGAAATGCTTTGGTGGTCTACAATGTAGTTTCAACCAGCAAATGTCTGTAGATAGCTTTTGTTCATAATGCTAATATAAACGCATGTTGGAAGTCATTAGTGTCCAGAAATGTCCACTCTCCTTGTCACAGAAACTATAAGCCATCTTACATAATCCAGACACCTTTCTGTTTTTGTCATCTAGATGAAACCCCAGTTAGTAGTGCCTACCTAGAAGGGCCATTTTGCTCCTCTATTTCCAGGTCTATGTGTTGAAGGGCCATTACTTATTTCCCTTTAAAGAAAGTGACTGAATTGAACACAGAGAACTCCCCAACCTCCAGGAGACTTTAAGGAAAAGAACTGCCTACTCATAACTCAGGATGGTTTAAGAAGCTGACCTCACCTTCCATCACCGTGAGCTTCCAGTCATCTATGCAATGAAGTGTGACAACAGCTTTAATAGCATGTGAAAATGTATTTTATTATGGGGCCATTAATTTGTCCTGCTGGCTATGTGATGTTCTCCATATGCTACACGGGAAAGTGCCCTTCTGTTTTGAGATCTTTCTTGATGAGCACTCTGCTCTTGCAGTGTGGAGCTCTTAATGCACACCTTTCTCTTGCTCTGCCCTTGACAGACATCAGCCTCATTCCATCATTTTGTTTGTGCAAGGAAGAGTGGAATGTCATGGAACTACATTCTGAGCTTGTGCATTTTCTTTTACTACCCAAAGATATCTGCCAAACTTTGACTTTTTAGAGACTATGCAATGAATTTAACAGCACTATTATCAAGAGAATAATTTTTGGCATATAGAAATTTTTTCAAGCTCTATTAATTTTACAAAGGGGTATGTGAGAATATGCATGGAATAAAAAAGGCATATGACTATGTAGGTGGATGTTTATTTTCCAAATCAGACAAATAAAAATTGCACACCAATGTGGTAACCTAAAGAAAAAAATAACCATCAAACTTGTTTTTAAAAAATATACACTACATATGTGTTGGAAAATCTTAATGAAAAAGTAATTAGCAGAGGTTATTTCGGCAAATAAATGAATCATAAATGAGGCAGCATCCTGAACCAGAAAAGCTTCAGAGAGCTCCACTCAGCAACATGACAAACAGTATTTATAGATAGAAAAAGAAAATGCCATACAGATATAACCTGGTTGGTTACAGCTTGATATTTGCCTTATTTGGGCATGTCTGAGCAGGCAACAGCCTGTGATTGGCTGAAAGGTCTGGTGCTGTGATTGACTAAGACTTGGTTACTTATTGCAATAATATATTTTCAAGTTCAACTGTGGCTTGTTCATATAAGTTAGGTTATCCTTTGCTGCATATGGCAAATTCAATTTAATTTAACATATGTTAATATGTGATGATGTTGTCTCTGACCATTTTTTAAGGTCCAAAGATTTTTAATTGCAATTTTTGTGAATACCTTCGTATTATAACTTATTTATTCAGTCATATATTAATGAATGGCATATTATGATCTAGGATTTATACTAGGTAGAGAGTGGGAAAGAGAGAAGGTGAATATCTATTGTTTCTGCTTTTATTAGCTCTTTGCCTGACATATGGAACCAGGGAAATTCTTAATAAATACATAATTAATAAATATATGTTTTAGATAGGGGAAACAAACAGATATATTATTAATTGTTTATATAAGTGCCACAATGCGGATTTTGCAAAAGGGCAAGGTGTATTTAGAGAGTAGAAAATGAGATTCCCCCAAGAGGTGGCTTTTGGCCTAACTCTTGAAAGATGAATCAGAATTATAGACGACAGAAAACAGTGCGTGATGATTATAACGCCAGTTCTTGTGGGATATAGAGGTAGATAAGGCATTTTATTAAAAATGGTTTTATTCCTTCTAACAATTCTACTGTAGTTATATAAGATGTTAACATAGGGGAAGCTGGATGAGTGACATGTGGAGCACAAAATATTTTTGCAACCTTTCTAGAAGTTTAAAGTAGCTCCAAATAATAGGTTTAATAAAAGATAAATAAGACAGGATTTTATGTTATTAATGGGAGTCAAAAATCCTAAAATAACCCTTATAATTTCCCACCTGCTTGGTGCACAGGACTTCATAACCCATGGAACTCCAAATATGATGGATGATATTCCCATGGGTTAAAGCCATGCATCTCTTAATGACAGGGATACTTTCTGAGAAACGTATCGTTAGGCTACTTTTGTCACTGGGTGAACACCAGAGTATGCTTATGCAAATCCAGATGAAATAGCCTACTACACACCTAGACGATATCATATAGCCTGTTGCTCCTAGGGAAAAACCTTGCATATCATGTTACTGTACCGACTACTATAGGTGATTGTAATACAGTGGTAAATTTTATGCATATATCCAGACATAGACAATGCACAGTAAAAATACTGCATAAAAGGTTGAAAAA